ACTTGGGGAGTGAATCATCGGACGGAAGATCTTCCTCTCTGTCTCTCCTCTCTGTATATCCGCCTTTCCAATAAAATAAAAATAAATCTTTAAAAAAAAAATCCAAATACTGGCATTGACCAGAAAAATTTAAAAGGTTTATTTATAATTGTTATAAAGTTGAACTGCTGAAACTTGTTCACTGAAATATTTTGACTTGCATTAATGCTTTACATCCCCGCATTTATATTAAAAATCCACGCACAAATGAAAATGGAAAAACTGTCAATACCTGATTTCTGTCCCCTAGTTTTCCACTTGCGATCATATACTTAGGTATCTTTTGACCCCATGGGAAACAAACAAAAAACAAAACAAAACAAAATAAAACAACCTAACGTTCAGAGCTACCAATATATCAGGTAAGAAGAGAAAAAAAAAATTGTTTTGAGAATGAAATGTTTCTCGTCATACTGGGTTCTTAAGCACGTTCTCCACGTATGCGGCATGCTAGCTGGATGTGTTTTGGCATAATTGTTACACGTTTGGCATGGATAGCACACAGGTTGGTGTCTTCAAAAAGGCCAACCAGATAGGTCTCACTTGCCTCCTGCAAAGCACCAACAGCTGCACTCTGGAAGCACAGCTCTGTTTTGAAATCCTGAGCAATTTCTCGCACCAGACGTTGGAAGGGGAGTTTGTGAATCAGAAGCTCAGTGGACTTCTGAGAACGTCTAATTTCACAGAGCGCCGCAGTACCAGGTCTGTGACGGTGAGGTTTCTTCACCCTTCCAGTAAAGGGCGCACTCTTGCGAGCGGCTTTTGTAGCTGGTTGTTTTCTGGGTGCTTTGCCACCAGTCGATTTGCGGGCAGTCTGCTTTGTACGAACCATGGTGCAAGTACTTCCTTACTCACCTACCCGCTTTTCCTCCGGTTGGAGCTCGGCGAGGGAGAGGCGGTGCTGGCACTGCGAGCAATGTAGACGCGGCGGTGATTGTGAACACAACCAAACTTTCTGATTCTAAAGGACACTGCACCCTTGCAGAGAGTAGCACCCCAGCTCTTGCACCTTGCAGGGAGGGTGCAGGGTCCCAACTGGGCACCTACTGGGGCCCCACCTCCCTGCTATACTAGGCAGCTGCCTCAGGGTGCTGGGTAAGAATAAAGCCAGTGAGTTCCCTGGCTGTGAGCCAATTGGACTTCTCCCCCGCCCTCAGCCTCATAATGCCTGGCTGGAGAGTCTGTGGAGAGAAAGCCATTCCCTAATACAGGGAGGGCTCAGTCTCAACCAGGTGACAACAGTGCCCACTCAGGGCCCTGGCTTCAGGCTGTTAAGGAGGTTGGGCCCTCAGCACTGGCCATGCGTACATATAGAGCCATTGAACAAGCCACAGAAGCTGCGTGGGGGAAGTCACAGGGCCAGTGCCTTGTCCTCTGGCTCTGCCATGGCCAGTGAGTCCACAGTCTGTCAGCATCGCCAAGGAACAAGTGCTTCAACGGCAGCCTCTCCAGGCCCTGTAAAACCTGAAGCTCAGTAGAACTGCAAGGTTGCTCGTGGCTAACCCAGCATTCTCATCTCCCCGAGCCATCTGATTTCTTCCTCTACGGTGTGCCAGGGAGCCTCTGGCATTTTAAGCTTATTAACTGATCTTAAATGAGGCTGCCATGAAGTCCAGGGCTTAATTAGCAAGGCCAGCAGATTCGGAATGCCTTATCCAGGCGTTCGAGCCAATACGTTAAATCTCAGCCCCCTGAATGAGACTTCCTGGGCCAAGGGTTTGGCTGAGCAGGGCCTCATTCTCCGCCCTTCTGGGTGCAGTTCGCTTAAAATCCACTCCCACACATGTTGCCACCAGGCCTGCCAAGGCTGCCTGGCAGGGCCTTCTGCTTCTCCATGCTCCACCCTGGCTCCTCTAGGGCCTGGAGTCAGGGTGGAGGGATGGAGCCCAGGAGGGTTCTGAGGCTGAGGTCCTGGGATAAGGGAGTGGCGGGAGAGGAAGTATAGTAACAGATTTCCAAGTGAACACTTTGAACTTGTCTCCCGGAAGTCCCCATGCAAGTTCAGGCTCCCATCTCTCACCCATCAAGGCTGGTCCCTTAGTGCAGGAAGTCTCTGTGAAGACTGAGCACTTCAGGCAGCACTGGAACCTGCTAGCCCTCACGGGGACACCCAAGGAGGCCAAGGGCAGCGGCTGTTCAGCCACTCTCCCAGTCCTCACTGCCCCCACCCAGCAGGTTCCGGTAGAAGCCACACAGCCTCGAGGGTTCACCACGGTCACTTCCACTCACCTCTCCCCGCTCCCCCTGGACCTCCCCAGAGGACAGCCTTGTGCTCCTGGAATTTAGCATCGATTTGATCTCCATACCCTGTGCAGGCTGCTCGGGTAACCTACTCTCACACAGGTGAACAAGTGTAGGGAGCAGACCATGCAGATACTTGGAGGACACATTGAGGAGGATTTCATACAGATTCAATCTAGGGGCTGAAGGCATGGTTCAACAAGCTAATCCTCTACCCTGTGGTGCCAGCATCCGATTGGGTGCCAGTTTGTGTTCCTGCTGTTTCATTTCAAATCCAGCTCTCTGCTTGCAGCCTGGGAAAGCAGTGGAGGATGGCCCAAAACCTTGGGACCCTGTACCCATGTAGGAATCAGAAAAGACTCCTGGTTCCTGGCTTCCAGCTTCAGATCAGCTCAGTTTTGGCCATTGCAGCCACTTGGGGAGTGAATCAGCGGACAGAAGATCCTTCTCTGTGTCTCTCATTCTCTCTGTAAATCTGTCCTTCCAAATAAATACATAACTCTTAAATTTTTAAAACTGCTAGCCCTCCTCCCTGGGCCAACAGGGCAGCCCTTGCTCTGTCTGTTCTACACTCCACATCCCCTCCCCACCCCACTGGCCAAACCTAGAGGCCAAGAGGGCAATGCAACCTGGGAGGCATCTGTAGGCTGGGTGAAAGACGGGCAGAGACGGCCTGGGGGAACTGGCTGGGAAAGCTGTTCCGCAGTGCCCAGCTACATTCTTATCTTGAGCCCAGTCCATTTTACACCCGCACCCCCTCACTTCACAGATAGGAAACCTAGAGTGGAGATCAGCCAAGCGGTTTGCACCCAAGGCCCACAGCCTGTAAACGCTGGAGGGGAGGATTAGGACTCCTACACTCGGCCTGGCTCCCAGTGTCAGCCTTGGGCCAGCCCGGTATGCTCAGAAGGTGACTCCAGAGGCCGCTGTTCTGGTGTAGTGGGTTAAGCTGCCACTTGCAAGGCTGGGATCCCACAGCAGAGTGCTGGTTTGAATCCCGGCTACCCATTCTTCTTCTACGATGTATTTATTTACTTGAAAGGCACAGTTAAAGAAAGAGAACGGGTAAGGTCCAGAGAACTCTCATTCCCCTGGGGCACGCTCCCATGTGGGTCACAGGGGCCTAGCTGAGGGCACAGAGATGGCAGGATCCCTAACTCCCACGCTCAGCCTTCCCCTCTGACTGTGCTGTGCTGGGGACAGAACAGAGGACCAGGAAGACAGCGACGATGACACTGCTGCAGCGCCCCTGGCAGAAACACGCACAGCCACGCTCCCCGATTGCGAGCAGGACGGGGGTGGGACACCTGGGCTGACTGACTCCTGCAAAGGCTGCTTTCTCCTTGTCCTTGGCTGGCAGGAGAGAAGGCAACAATGCAACAGCGCGGTAGCCCAGGCCAAAGTTCTCCCTTGGCATGTGCCAGGATCCCATATGGACACTGGTTCTAGACCCAGTCGTTCCACTTTCCATCCTGGGAAAGCAGTCGAGGACATCTCAAAGCCAGGCTCCTGGCTTCGGATCTGGATTGGCTCACGCTTCGGTTGCTGTGGCTGCTGAGGGAGTGTGAAGCAGCAGACAGAAGATCTTTCTCTCTCTCTCTCCTTCTCTCTGTGTGTTTGCCTTTCCAATGAAAATCAATCGGTCTTTATGGAGTCACAGTGTGTCACCATGTCACCCTCCTACCACTCAGTAAGACTCACAACCAAGGGGCTCCACTGGGCTTTGTGTGCTGAGCTTTATTAGGATCCCACACAGGTGTGCTGGAGGAGTCCAGCTATTCTCCCAGTTCCTATTTGTTGCATCCCGTGGCTGGTCCCGCCAGCATGACCCCCTGGCCAATGGGTGCTGCACAGCAGTGTTCATCTCCAAATTTGATTTACGTGAGAGGCACAGAGGCAGGAAGGGATATGGAAAAACCAAGAGGGCTGGCCTTTTGTGCACTTCCCGAGTGCTCACCATGGCCAGGTTGGGTTGGGTGGGAACTGGTCCCCCGTGGGGGTGGGGGTGGCAGGGACCCAGGGACTTGCGTCATCCAGGGCGTGCATGAGCGGGGAAGGTGGGCACTCCCACACGGAAGGCAAGCACCTCAGTACAGTAAGTGGCTGCTGTCTGCATTTATTTTTTTTACATTTCTAGGAGAGTCCCCTGGCCCTGTTTGTTTTTTATGACAACGGCAGTGGTATCAGGCTCAGGCCAGTCAGTTTTGAACGCTCTTTCACTTTGGCCTGGGTCTCTAGGATTAGCTGTAGAGCACAGTTTTGAGAACAATTCTGGCGTTGCATCTTCCTTAGTGTATCACAGCAGGGGACAAAACGATGCCAGTTGGATCTGTCCATCCTAATTAAGCTTATTTGGCGCGCGGGGGTGTGTGGGGGGGGCGTTCAACAGGCCAGGCAGGCTTTCAGCTACGGAAGCCAGGAGATGGCTGGCGCCCACTGACACAGCAGCCAGAGCAGCTGCAGTTCAGCCAACCAGCCTTCAGCCTCTGCCCTCCCCTCCGAGAGCCCCGGAATGGGGCTAGTGGCCGTGATGGCCGGTGTCACGCGCAGCAGGTTCGGCCCTGACCTAGCCTTCACATTTTAGCAGCCCATGCCTGTTTTCTAAAGCACCTTCCCCGACCGGGGGGGACTCCGGGCTGGGCCCACTTGTGTCCGCTGCAGCAGCGTTTCTGCACGAGGTCGGCCTCTAACGCTCCAGCTTCTGGATTTGGTGTGGTCTGCGGACCTCCCTTCATCTCCTCTCACGGTGGTTGCGTCCACTTCGCCGGAAGTGCTCGCCGCTCCGCCTTCCCGTCAGGCTTCCCGGCACAACATGGAGCTGCGTCCCGACGTGGGGCGTCCCGGTGTTGCCCGTCTCGGCGGAGCCGCTGCACCTGCAGGGTCAGCCTCGGCCTCGGTGACCCTGGCGGAGCTCGTGCAGCTGGTGCAGCGGGGCCAGGCGCTCCCGGGCGTGCAGCAGCTGCACATCACGGCGACCCTCGGCGAGCCCACGGCGTCCGAGCTCCCGCGCAAGCCCAAGCCCTGGGAGGCGGCGGGCCCCACTGCACCCCGCGGCGCCGGGGAGAGCAGCGGCCCGGCAGAGGCGCCATCTCCGGGGTCCTGAGGTTCGTGGACTTGGCGGCCGAGACCTGGAGCCTGCCCGTGCCCGGCGAGCCTCTGGGTGCTGGCCGGCCACTCGCCCTGGCCCGGAAGCATCAACGCGTCCTGTTCTGTGAACTGCACCCTTCCACGATGTCCTTGGTGTAACGTTAACGAGGCTTAGGCTGTCGCCGGATGGGGCCCGGTGAGAGCAGGACTTCTCTTGTGGCTGTTAGGGACAGCGAATCTGGGATCTGCTTTGTCCTACAAAATCTACAAGACAGCTTGTGTGTAAGCCGTTACCAGCAACATCTCAGGGCACCCTAATATACTGTGAGAAACCCCCCCCCCCTTGTTTTTCCTAGAAATACACAGAATAACACTTGTTATGGGTGGCATATTATTCAACCACACAATTTTAATGAAAACCTTATTTACAATTACCAGGTTTACTGTTTTGCATAATTCTCTTAATAACCAGACAGTACATGGTGCTTGTTTGTTGGAACCACTGTTTCCGTATCTGTTGTTTCAAAAATGGCTGCAATGGCTGGAGCCCAGAACTCCACAGCTGGGCCTCCGCAGCGGCCTTCCCAGGCACCGCAGCACCACTCATCGGCAGCACCTTAAGCCAGAAGGCTGTGCCAGCCTGCTCCCCTGTTTGGTAAGGCAGAGCTGAGAAACGGGCCCAGGACTTCCTCCCCAGTGCTCTCTTGCGCCAACTCCCTAACACATCATTTTGAAGCAATCAGATTTCACAACGCTGTACAGGAGGGTAACATCTTCTGGCAGGTTAACGCTGCAGCCAAGCAGGTAATTAATGACCTCATCCTGGCACATGTGAATGCATTGTTTCACAGCTGTTTCACAGCTATATCTGAGAGCTCCGAGAGCCAGAGTGAAAGCAAAGCCAATGGGAAGGCCAAGGAAGCAGCAAGTCTGCGCGCACAAGCCCGCCGCTCAGGCCCGGACACTGGGGGAGGCGCTCTCCCTCTCGCAGCTCCCAGGATGAACTTCCCCACAGACCCTGCTGTTGGTCTTTTCCATCACTAACAGCAGGACAAATAGTAATACAATGTGCAAAGAAAAGATCCAATTAGACTATTTACTTGTGGCAACTTCACACCAAGAAAATGGCCCGTTCAGTCCTGTTTGGGATCAGAATATCTAGTAACAGGGGAACCAGGAAATTCAACTCGCAGGCCCGAGGGGTGAAATGGTGGGAGTGCCAGAATCAGCCGGCACAGAACAGGACTCCATCTGCCACTGTGCTGGCTGGAAACCCCAGGACAGGAGCTGGGCCCCGGAGGGCGCTTTCCTGCATGGCACAAGCTCTTCCACAGGAGGCGGCAGCCAGTGGGAAACGGTGGGGCTTCTTGGAACTAGGAGGGGTGAGGTGTGAGCCGTGAGCAGACTGCCCTGTGAAGCTTTCCTTTCAGCTTCTGATGAGGTAAACCATCTTCCCTGAAGATACTTGATCCCAAGCACCACATTTTCAGTGTGCTTTCACATCATCTGAGGGCAAAAGACTGTATTACTACAGGAGAAACAACAGTAATAAAAACAATTTCAGAGTTCAGAAAAAGTTTTTGGAAAAAAATTTTAAATAAGATTAATTCTCCAACAACAACAAAATATTAGGGCTTCACAAAGAGAGTTCATATCTGCTGGTTGTGGTTTGTGCTGGCCAGGCCCCCATGGGAGTGACAAGGGCCCACTGGAGCCACCACCTGCTGCCAGCCCTATGGAGCTCATGTTAGCAGGAAGCTGGAGCCAGAGCCAGGTATGGAAACCCACATGTGGGATGCAGGCATCCTGTCAGGCAACAGGAAACCTGAAACCTTTTATTTATTTATATATTTTAAAAGATACACTTATTTATTAAAAAGATTTATTCATTTTTATTACAAAATCAGATACAAAGAGAGGAGGAAAAACAGAGAGGAAGAGCTTCTGTCCGCTGATTTACTCCTCAAGTGGCCGCAACGGCTGGAGCTGAGCCAATCCAAAGCCAGCAGCCTCTTCCAGGTCTCCCACATGCGTGCAGGATCCAAGGCTTTGGGCTGTCCTGGGATGCATTTCCAGGCCACAAGCGGGGAGCTGGATGGGAAGTGGGGCCGCTGGGATTAGAACTGGCACCCATATGGGATCCTGGCAGTATGTGGAATGCAAGGACTTTAACTGCTACGCTATTGTGCCAGGCCCAAAGATTTATTTATTTTTATTGCAAAGTCAGATATACAAAGAGGAAGATGTTTCATCCGACGAGTCATTCTCCAAGTGACCGAAACAGCTGGTGCTATGCCGATCCGAAGCCAGGAGCTAGGAACTTCCTCCAGGTCTCCCACGCAGGTGCAGGTTCCCAAGGCTTTGGGCTGTCCTCAACTGCTTTTCCAAGCCACAAGCAGGGAGCTGGATGGGAACCGGTGCCCATATGGGATCCCAATGCATTCAAGGTGAGGACTTTAGCTGCTAGGCCACCATGCCAGGTCCTTTTATTATTATTTTTTGAGATTAAAAAAATTTTTATTAGAAAGATATACAGAGAGGAGAGACAGACAGGAAGATCTTCCGTCTGATGATTTACTCCTTACATGGCTGCAAGGGCCAGAGCTGTCAATCTGAAACCAGGAGCCCGGAGCCTCTTCCAGGTCTCCCACTGGGTGCAGGGTCGCAAGGCTTTGGGCTGTCCTTGACTGCTTTCTCCGGCCACAAGCCCGGAATTTGATGGGAAGCAGGGCCACTGGGATTAGAACCAGTGCCCATACAGGGTCCCAGTGTGTGCAAGTTGAGAGCTTCAGCCGCTAGGCTACCACACTGGGCTTTTGCACTTTATTTTTTACTTCATTAAAAAAAAAAGTTCCAAACACGGTAACAGAAAGAGGAGAGACAGAGATCTTCCATCTGCTGCTTCAATCCCCAATGGTTCCTACAGTCAGGGCTGGCCCACACTGAAGCCAGGAGCCTAGAGCTTTATCTGGGTGTCTCACAAGGGTATAGGGGCCCAACCAATTGGACTGTCTTCCACTGCCTTCCCAGGGACATCAGCAGAAAGCTGGATTGGAAGTAGAGCAGCTGGCACTCAAACCAAAGCCAATGTGGGATGTTGTACCAGGCAGAGGCCTAACCTTTTATACCACAACCCAGCCCTGTTTTTAAAAAATCATACTTTTTATCCATTTCCAGGTAAATGATAAAATGGAATTCTTTTCGTCACTTCACATTTTTTAGCCTGTCAAGACTCAGGATGCACACAGACTCCTGGCCTGATCAGATATTCACTGTTCTAAGTAGGTATTTATTCGTGCAATCAGCCTCCCCTTTCCACCCAGTCAAGGCTTTTCTCAAATATGAGTAAATACAAAAACTACTAAGTGGCAAGAAGCCAGCCCGAGGGCAGCCCTGGGCCCGCCTCACCTGGGTCTAGTTCAGCTGGCGGATGAGCTGATTGATGCGCTCGCCCCGGTAGCCAGGTGAGCCCATCTCCTTGAGGAAGCCCGCTCTGTTCTTGGTAGCATGGCGGGCCACGGACAGCTGGAAGGGGCGCAGGAACCTCGCGATGTGCTGGAAATGCTCACCAGGGAAGGCAATTTCATGAATGAGGTCTTCCAAGCAAATGACACCGAATTTCCCTAAAAAGCACAAGGGCACAGACTCCGCTATTCACCCATCCTTCATCTGACAGAGCCGAGAAGCTCCGCTGGCCAGAGCTGGGGCCTGCGACAGGTTCCCACGGCCCAGGGACCCCAGGTCTGCCAGCCAGGCCCGAGTCCCCTGCTGCTGCCCTCACCCAGGTGCTCCTCAATCATCGTGTTGTCCGTCAGAGGGACGGTCTTGTTGTTGACCCTGGCTTGCCCACGTTTTAAGATGAGTTCCCGGACGGACTTCAGGTTTGGAAATCTATGGGAGGCAGAATGAAATAGTGTGTTAGCCACTGCGCTACTATGGTCAGCCATGCTATGTTAAGAGGACACAAACTGCAAGACAGTGGCCATTCCTGCTGCCCAGCTGGGAAAAGACCAGAAACTTCCCCTTTCACCCCATGTTCCAGTACGGATGCTTGGGAATAAACTTGCAAGGGAAGGAAAGGAGTGGCCCAGACTATAGCATTCAGCAGGTGGCAAAAACAAACTAAAAACCAAAAAGAGACTGCATCGTGGCTGCGGTCTGGGCCCCAGCCCTGGGAATGGTCTACTCAAGCTTGCAGAAACAAAGCCCACGCTCTCACTGCATTGGAACACCTGAGAAGTGCTCCTCATATAAAGCGTGGCTCCAGCTCGGCTTCCAGACATTAGAGCCAATCTCCTGGCCACCTGAGCCTCAGTGCAGAGTGGACGTGCCTGGCTGTGCTATGTGGGACCATCACCAGAGTCACTGAATCCCTGTCCCGGGGTTCTTGATCTCTGAGGGCTGTGGTCGAGAGCCCCACTCACCCCCAGGTCACGTAAGGCTCCACTATCCGCAGCACTCGCAGGTTTGCGGGTGTGACTCTGACAAAGACGCCGCTGAACATTTTCTTCAGGCGAAGCCGTGCAATGGTCTGCTGCACCAGCGAACTCACCCCATTGATCCTGAAACAAACAGCAAAGACAAGAGAAGTCAGGCTCCCTCAGCCTGATGTCCAAGGGCCGTCATGGCTCTCCAGAACACAGCTTGAAGAGCTCAGCTTGGGGGTCAATGCTGAGGGGTACTTGATCAAGCTGTCACCTGCAGCAAGTCAGATTCCAGTACCAGTCGCTCCACTTCCAATCCAGCTACCCACTCAGCCGCTTGGGAGAGCAGGACAGGATGGCCCAGGTATGAGACCTGATGGGAGTCTCAGACTCCCAGCTTCAGCCTGGCCCAGCTGCTGTGCCCATCTGGGGAGGGAATACCTGGTAGAAAAGGTCTGTTTCACAAGAGGCAGTGCAAACAGATCATCTCCCTGCGATGCTGGCAGTGTCTGGGCTGCTATGGGAACAGACATGTTGGAGAGGGTTGCGTAGGGCTAAGCAAGCTGGACTTGCTTCTGAGGGTGCTACTGGAGAATGTATGGCAAAGACATGACTAGGCTTCTTGCTGATAGTCACCGAGGACAGTGGGATGGCAGGGGAACCCAGTCAGGAGGCTCGCAGCTACAGCTCCCACAGGTGTACAGGAAGGCTGAGTGGGCAGGATTGGGCTGGACTCCAACACCCACTGGTTTGCACAGAGGACAGGGCTGGAGACAGAATTAACCCAGCAACTGCTGAACTATCAAAGCCACTTAAGCAGGACCCTCGGAGCATGCTCCACATGGGAGACCTTGGGATAGTTGGGAGTCTGGGTGTGGCTTCTCCCCTTGTCTCCACCACTTTCCCCAGATACAGAAAGGAAAAAAAG